CCCCCCCCACCTTTCTTTTGTTATACTTCGCAGATAGGACTTACGTATTTCTATATTGTGTTGGTCTATGTACATGTAGAGGCAGATTATTCAGCATGCGGGAAAGACACAAGGCACTTTGTTGTTGAGACTTTTCCTACAAACTTCGGATGGTACAACAAGCTTGCTGGTTAATTGGAATGCATTCCATATACTCTCCCCGTTTGTCCATCCTAAGGTGCTTCTTCTTTCCTCTGCCGTCATGTGACTGCTGCAAGAAGGTTTCTGCATCACGGCCTAGTCCCACGAATTGTCGCTTTTTCCCAGTTTCGCAACCGCTAGTCGCTATTGAGGCGCCCGGTTTAGCAACCACTGGTCGCTAAACCGGGTTTAGCGACATACCCTGAATAGCAACCATATTTCGTCGTGACACACTAGGGGTCGCTAAACCGGGCCCCCCACGGAGTATGGTACGTTGCAATATCCGCACCCGTTGCAATTCCGGTGAGAATCGGAGCGCGATGCAGGAATAACGATCACCGAAAATGTCTTAAGACAGAGCATTGAATGCTCGAAGGATCGGAAATGTAAATTTGTTGTTGTTGTGGTTTCTCATATTAGCTCTATAGTCCACAAAACATGGGGAGCCCGTGGTCTCAAAACCCGGCACATACGACGCCGCGGGGGAACAAAATAAAAATAGGGTACAAACCACTCGGAAAAAACAAAAGACAAAGGGGAACGTACCAGCACCAGGCACTACGCACCAGGGCATGGGAGTAACGGGTCAAACAGGACAAAGATGCGGCAGATGGGCAGACAGCCAGATGTACAAAAAACAAAATGTTATACAAGTAGACTAGTGCGATTCGATTCCAACCATTCAATTTGAATGCAGTCAAACATCGCCGACGGGCCAGAATCGTCTTGGAAATAGAACAGGCAGAGGCGAATTACGAAGAATAATTTCTGTAAACGAAACGCGGGTCAACGACAGGGACTGCTGTTGCCCTCACCTCCGCTGGGCCCGTTTTCGCCTGCACCACCCCCATGTACGCGGCATCCGCTCCCACCATGGCCCTGTGATTGGCTGCCTGCTGCTACTGGGTGGTTGCGATCGCCGAGATGGACGCCCCAGCGGTTGCTGAGGCTGCCGCGGGGGCGGGTGTCGCTGATGCAGGGGCAGCTGCTGCTGTGGAGGTTGAGTTCCCCGTTGCTTCCAACCATTTCGGTAGCTTCTTGGCTGGCCCAGCTTGTACGTGCGTCCCACATGCGCTGTGACCTGCCACCCAGATTCACCAGTGGTCACTCCCGTCACGCGCTGGACTTCGTCCAAGCTTCACCAACCGGAAACTGCTTTGAATTGGTGAGCAGCACGTTGCAACGTATGCATGTATACTTGAACTGGCAGGCATGGCGAGTCGCTGCTATCGTATGTTAACTACAGCAGTTTGTACTCACAGGATGTCGTCGTCAGGTATTGTCTACTTTTGATTTTAGTGTACACCAAAATTGGTGCCTGCCATATATACTCTTTCCGAGCCACACAGCAGTTAGTTTCGTTGCGACAAAATGCCTAGGTTTGTTTGTGGCCACCGCATGTCTCACGAACTTCGTGGCCACCGCATGTCTCACGAAGTTCGTGCGGAAACGACGACGTGTGTGTATCGAACCCTAAAGGTGCCCTCGGCACACCCTGTCATGAGTGCATTTTTCGACGGCTCACGCGTGCTTTTAGTGTTGTTTTCATGTTGTGGCGACCACGTGCTCTTGCTGGGGCGGGGGGGAAGTCGTTGCCCCTAGTTTGAAGGTACACACAAAAGCGTCCTACGGCTACATGCTGTAGTCTAGGTTCAAGTCTCCTAAAAGAGAAGCAAAGTACGTTCTAAAAACAGCAAGTCGTCAACCGACCCTGCGCCATGTTTCCTGTGAAGGCCACATTCCACATTAAATTAAGAATGTATCCCCCAATACAGATGCTTTTGTTCTTAGCTCCAACTGGCATAATTACTGATGACTCAGTGTTAGGCTTACACAAAATCAAAATAAGCCAAGTCTACAGTTGGTTTCAAGCCACTTACTGAAAAGCACATCCCTTTCGACTGAGGTTGGTTATATTTCGAACGGGTAGTCTTTCTGTGAGGTTATGTTTACTTTCCAAAAAAGAGCGGTGTGGAGTTGAGTGATGCATGGCTGCTACTGTCTCGGATGAACTCAAGCTGTAATTTCATGGGTTTCCCTTTTTATGTATATATATTTATTTTTTTACATTCCTGTAGATGTGACATCGAAGTCGTGTGACATCGAAGAGCTCCGCTCGAAAGAGTGAGAAACTCTCATGGTGGTAGTACAGTACACTACGGCCCACTTGGAACTTTGAGCCTTGCAGACGACGGCGGCAGTGAGTGCAAGATGGGATAAAAAAGGACAAAACGTCCCTGCGTTAAGTACCCTCCTCCTGTGGGATCCAGGCTCATGCGTCAAAAATGTATATCGAAAAGGTACATCTGCAATTGTCGGAAGGCAAAAATAAATAAATAAATAAATATCGAAAAGGTTTTGTTGTAGTGTTGTGTGTGTGCGTTTTCGTCCTATTTATGATGGCGACAGTCCCCCCATTTTTCGTGGTGAGACGTGTACTACACTTTTCAGCGTATGTAGAGTACTACACTTTTCAGTGTATTCTTTCGTACAACTACAACCATCCAGGGTCACACAGGAGGGGGTAAACACCAGGGCTTGTTTTTCTTCTTTTTATTCTTTTCATGCCCCACCTTCCTCCTGCGGTGCGTGCTGAATTTTTTTCTTATCGCGAGAATGGTCCAGCCGTCCCCTTCCCTCGTCAACGGTGCTAACGTCGAAGTTTGGTACTCACGAGAGCTTTTTTAGCTATATTTCGCTTTCACCCGCAAATTTCGTAAATTTTTCACCCCATGGGGATTCGGACTCACGACCTCTGCGACTAGCGGGTTGCGAGGATACCACTAGACCACCGGGGCGAGTGTTGTACTAGTAGAGCAATGAACGCCCCCCCCGCCCCCAGTGGGCGGGCGGATACAATGGTAAGGTAGACGAAGACATGGAGGAGATGAGGTGGAAAACGCGTGGGTTTTGCGGGAGGGTGAGTGTACAGGGAGATGGTTGGAAGAGGCTGATGTTAAAGAAAATATGGTCGGTCCCGGGTGACTGTCCGCGGCTTATTATGAAGGATGTGTAGGTTGATTGGGAATAGGAAGGCGCAAACCGGAGATATGTGTAGGGATGATGAAGGCAAGGAGAGAGGCTATAGAAACAACCTCCGGACATGGGGAGGTTGGTACCGGCGAAAGATGGTATAGTCCATTGAGACGGATATGACGGTCCTTGCGCCGTGACCGAATAGTTAGATGTAGAGGGTGTGGTGCACGTTGTGACAGGAACGAAGGATGAACAACGTTAAAGATGTAGACTAATTGGTATTATGAGGTAATGAAGACGAACATGAAGCGCAATGAGGAATCTGTCGCTTCGCCGTCCTCGGTTCGACCCAGGACGCACGGTGCACGCGCAAGTCCAAGATGATATACAGCGATGTGACAATAAGCAAAGGGGTGATTCCCGTCCGGTATGAAACGACGTCGGATGTTCATGGAACCAACCAGGAACGGAAGAAATTCATCCATACTAACACGAGGGGCCCCTTTTGAAGAGATACGATATGAAAAACTGCCGGAAAGCATTGAAGAAAAAAAAAAAAAATGAAGACGGCGCGAGGATGAACATCATGACCCCACGAAACGTATGCCGATTGACGAAAACAAAGTCCCGGCGTAACATGGAAGAATCGATTTTTTGGGCTGCACGAAGCGAGCGTTCCGAAAGCACACTGGCTTTAATCATTAATCAAAAGGAAAACGGAAATACTTCTTGCAAACAGGGCCCCCAAAGACGAATTCAAAAAAGTACGCTTGTTACAAGTTGGGCGGCGCTGTTGTCCAACAGATAATAGAAAATGTGAAACATGAACATGCGAACAGCCACCGTTGCTGTCACATCCCAAAACATGAAACACCTATTGGCAACGAAAAGGCATACGACTACGGAAATATTCGTCGGAAACAGGGCCCAAGGACGAAGTCAAACAGTACGCGTATGAGAAGCTGCGCGGCGCTGTTGCCCAAGAGACGATAGAAAACATGAAAAATGAGCATGGAAGCAGCCACCGTTGCTGTCACATCCGAAATCATGAAAACACCTATGCTATAGGTAACCAATACGAAGCTGACGGTAACGACGGAAAGAGCAAGGAAGCAGAAGGTGGATACGATATCGCCACGACGTCCCGCCGGAACATGAAGTAGTCAATATCGAAGTGAAATTTGAGGCAAGTTTATGAAAGAGACCACAAGCGGCCGTACATCCCTGAGGAACGGCATGGAGCGAACGGCTCGGAAGGAACGCGAAATGAGAAGCCCGAACGGGGAAAACAGGCGACGTACTCGATGAAGGAAACCGAAAGAATTGTTGTTGTTGTTGTTGTTGTTGTTGTCTTCACATTAAAAACCGTTCCGATCTCTCTCTACCCAGTACCTTCGTATGTCCGTACTGATACAACACTCGACGCGGTCGATTCCCGTGGTCGCAGGCTAACTTACCCTTACAAGGTACACTAAAAAAAATGGCACCGAGGGGTCCGCAGGTCAATAGAAATCAACGCCAGATATTCTGGAGTCCTCCANCCTCTTCCTCCTCTTCCTCCCCATCCCTCTGTTCCTCCGCTTCTTCCTCCTCGTCCTCTTCCTCGTTGTCCGTTCTTCATCTCCTCCTTCACTTGTTGACGTCCGTGTTCGATGTCATGTTGTTGCTGTTCGGGGTTGTAGTCTACATTGATTGGCGTTGCCGTCGTGGTTAGCATTGTCGTCGGCGGGGGGCAGAAGGGCGGGGGGTAGTGACCTTGCGTTTCTTGCCCTTGGCGTTGGGTTTCGTGGAAGGCTCGCGCTTGATCTTGCGGGATTTCGCCGTAAGCCCCGCCTCCAGAGGCATGGATTCTGGAGAGATCTATTGCTGCACGCCACACCACACAACAAGCACCCGCACATACCACGGGCCACCGTAGTTCCACGACCACCAGCGCTGTGTTTGTCTGGATTCTGTCGCTGTTGGATACCCGAGGTAGGAGCGTAAGAGCCTACAACCTTTCGGGCTGTTTTTTCTTTGGAGCGAGTAAGGGGCAGTGCCCAAAAGATTTCCCACCCTTGGCCCTGTTGTTGTCTCACGGGGCTTTTCTCGCGAGTTGTTGCTCCATGTTTCCTTGTTGGGCTGGCAATTGAATTCGTGTATTTTCTTATAAAGAGTACCGAAGAGGAGGCACTGGGTTTTCGGTGAAGAAGCAATCGAGCGCCCACCGAATGCAAAACAACGGAGGAAATATTGAACCTTTGCCTGCTGTGCAGCGGGTGTCATCTGAAAGGCATGCGAGCTATCACGAGCACATGTGAGCACAATGGTAAGTGTCCTGTGGAAACAAGCCGATGTTAGTAGGTGAGCTTCGGTACCTAGCATTTCCCGTGGCATCAAACATGGGAAGATTCGTATCACGTGTCCACGCAATACCCTCTGATGGTCGTTTTCACGCCTATACCGAAGCTATATCGATATCGTATCGAAATATTCATGGGCGAACCGATAACGAAGTGTGAAGTATATATATACTTCTCTATCGATATCGCTTCGAATGTCGAACGCTCCGTGGCCATATCGTTCGAAGCGGATTATCGCTCCGACATACAACAGAGCACTATTCTGCTGACGCTGATGGCGTCATTGCTGTATTATTGTGGATGGAACGGAGCACGGAAATACCCAAAACAATCGGGGCGTTTGAAAAACTCAAGACAGACAGCCATACACACTCCCCAACAATATTGTAGCGCTCGGAAATTAGCGACGAGAATATATGAATGGTGAAAGCAAGAGGAATGGTGAAAGACACAACAACCTGCGGGTCCCAAACGAACACGAGTACAAAGCAGCAGCCTTTTGGTAGACACGTGCCGTTTTGTCGTGTTGCTGTTCGTTTGTTACCATTTGTGAATGCCACCTCAGACTTTCGTAGATTGTGACGTCAGATGACCTGTCGGAGATCTACCCTCGGGGTGNGAAAGAATTGTTGTTGTTGTTGTTGTTGTTGTTGTCTTCACATTAAAAACCGTTCCGATCTCTCTCTACCCAGTACCTTCGTATGTCCGTACTGATACAACACTCGACGCGGTCGATTCCCGTGGTCGCAGGCTAACTTACCCTTACAAGGTACACTAAAAAAAATGGCACCGAGGGGTCCGCAGGTCAATAGAAATCAACGCCAGATATTCTGGAGTCCTCCACTCC